TATTATTATTTAACATACTTAAATAAAAAATATACGAATAAACTAAATAAATAAATATATTAATTACATATAATATAAATAATGTAAAATTATTTCTCTAAATGAATAAATATATTATATTTTAATTATATGTTTTATTGAATTCTATATATATGTTCTATTATTTATTATTCATTATTTACTATATTAATATTAATTTATTAATTAAATACTGAATATATTAAATATTAAAAATATTAAACTAGAATAAATAAAATATATAAATTGAAAATTAAATAAAATAATATAATTTTTTATTTGTTTTTTGTTTGTGATCACTGTATATTTAAATTATAAACATAATTTCAATAGTAAAAGTACAATTAAAATAAATAATAATAATAAAAGTCAATAAAATGAATTTAAATAAAAAATAAAATAAAATGATGATGTGGCAGCTTTTTGCCAAAAAAGGTTAAGTTCGTGTATCGGGTTGCCAAAAACCAAAGGTGGTGTATTAAACTGCCAAGGTTTAAACTGATGATTTGACTTATGTTTGCTGAGTCAGACCTACGTCAGCTTTCCGTTGACGGACGTTAAATCCTTGTATCAAGTTGCCAATAATGTAAAGGTCGTGTATTTATTTGCCAAGGTTTGAAAGTCGTGATTAAATGGCCAATCAAGTAAAGGTCGTGTATTTTCCTGCCATTATGCCCATTATTAATTAAATAATAATACACATTTTAGCATTTAATAGACAATTAGGCATTTAATTTAAATAAAATAATACTAGAAATAATAAAAATAATAATAATAAAGACAATAATATTAATTAAAAATCCCAAATATTCCATAAACGAACGGGGCGCTACAAAATACTTATAGAGAATCCAAATATTTTCAACTATTTATTTACAATTTTAACAAACGATAAATCTTGGTAAAAAAAGGACAACTTAATTTAGGGATAACTTGTATATAATAAATAATTCTAAAGATATATACTTAACATTAATTAAGAGAAGATACCTAAAATTTTAATGAAATCATGCACCGTAAAATATATACATAATCTAACAAACTAAAAAAGTGAACAATTCGTTTAACTACTTCAATATTTAAGAAAATAATCTCTTTCATTTAGATAATTTTGCTATGAAACCAACAGTTGGCTCCATAGTGGAGCCAACTCTCTATATACAACAAGAAAAGATGTTTTGGAATGAGAGCGTGTGTGTCGAGCCTATAAACATGAATCTGCCCGTGATTCAAGCAAAATATTTTTGTCAGAAACTTTTCATTGGAAAATTCAAAAGGGAATAACAACATTGAAATATTCGTTAGATTGTCGTTGAAATTCCATTGTAATATATTTTTGTTAAAATTTCATCATGTTTCTTGTAGTAAAAGTTGAGCTTTAAATCAATAAAATATTTCATTATATATAATATTATGTGCAACTAATTATTATGAAAATTGTTGATAATGATAGAAAATATAATATATTTATTGTAATTTTCATTTAATTTATGATAATTAGTATTTTCTTAAAACAAAAAAGATACATCTACGTTAAAAAGTCTTTAATTATTTTATTAGTACTAATATGAGTCCCGTGCAGTGCACGGGTAAGAGATATTCATTAATATTTATAAATTAAAAATTCTTATTAAATCATATTTATAAATTAAAAATATAGAATCAATATGTAATACAATTTACCTATATTTATTTATTAAAAATGTTATATAAATTTTAAATTGTACAAATTACACAAAAATAAATATTTAAAATTAGTATACAAATCGTACGGTGCACATAAGTGATAATAAATTACATTTTATTTGTTTCAAAATAAGTATCATTTTAAAAATTTTATTCAGAAATATGATTTGACTATATGTGATTCCATAAAATAGTTATTTTGGTAAAATGTTATCATATATTTAACAATTAAAAAATTATATTGTTTCATTACTTAAAATAATTTATTATTGTATAAACTATTCAAATAAAAAAAAAATAAGTAGTTGAGTAATTTATTAAACTATAAATAATTGACTATTTCATTTACGTCCAAGTTAATATTGACCCGTAAGTTATGAATAATTATATTTTATTTTAAAATTTAAATAAAAATATTTTTATTTTTTTTAAATATATTATATACCAAATTTAAACCATGCAACTAATAAAGGTAATAGTTGCAAGTTTTGTCAATATATTATATTTCAAATTTAAATCATGCAACTAATAAAGGTAATGGCCGCAATATTTGACCAAAATGATTTTGTACATTAATTTAGGCGGAATTTTTCAAATTTTGGCAAAAAATATTACTCAATATAGTAAATACGTTAGGCGGGAAACAAAATATTGTTTTGTTGATTTTTAGTTGCTATTTCAAGTAAATATCATTGCCTCTTTATATATTAATAGATTATAGTAACTAAACAAGTGGCAAGAATGATGTTCTATGTAATAAAAATGTAATACTAGGCAATCTTAATTTTTTTAAGTTACAAATTTAATTACTGTCAACCATTAAAATTTTCAATTTTGAAATACTTAATATTTATTTATTTGTTACCCTTTTTATACGCAATATATCACATCATTTCTTTCCAATGACGTTCAATTTGACCAATGTGTTGTAAATGAAATCAAAATAATATACTTATTTCTATCGATTATAAAATAATATATATATATATAATTATATATCAATAAAAATTCAGAATAATAAATGGACCTAAAAGTATCTTATAAAATAAATTATAAATCCATGTTAAGCAAATTTTATTAAGTATAAAAAAAATTTAAGATAAACTTTTGTTATATTTTTCTTACATAGATTTGAAATATTCATACAAATAAGAAAAAACATACAAAATGAATGCATGTAAACTTACAACTATTACCAACATTAAGTATGCGAATTAAAAGGAAAAATAAATGAGTTATATTTTGAACAATTATTCAGTTATTGCATGAAAAGAACACCATAATGGTTGTAACACATAACATATATTTTCAATGAATACGGAAATGAATTAATTACTTAATATTTTATAAAACAATGAAAAAAAATCCTAAACTTTTTAATCTTATAACCAATATAAAAGTACATTTTGTGTCAAATATATTATTATTATAACTAAATAAATAAGTAATATTAAATAGTAATTATCGTATTTCATTATATTTGTTGTAGCCTAATAAATAAGATATTTTGATTACAACGTCATTATATAAAGTAGACGCAATACATATAAATGTGCTCTAATTCTTTTAACAAATAAATATTATTTGTGAATAGAATACGAAACAAATAAAACGATAGTAATTCAATGAGAAAAGAAAAGTTTGAATTTTCTTAGAAAAATATTAATACCAATATCTAGAAACAATGTTTTTTTTAAAATTACTAATTTTCTTCTAGCGTCTAATTATATGAACTATGTAAGAAATTAGTTCTCATAAATAATGATCCTATATTATCAAAAATTTTAAATATAATTAAAAAAACAAAAATTTTATAATACATAACGTAAATTTTTATAATAACTTCGCAATAATAATGTTCACAGAGCGACTAAGAGTATCATAATATAACATAATTATAATTCTTCTCTTGTCAAATATTTAATAAATGATATGCTTCTTAATATTGTCTCATTGTTTTGTTTTACTTTTTTTATTTTTATTTTTTTTGGTCCAAGAAAAGATCTTTATCTTGAATTTTCGAAGCATTATGTATGATTCAAAAAAATTGGACAATAAAAGTATTAAACAATTATTAGGCACATAAGTACTGCAAATTCGAACGAATGTGAAAGATATTATGATAAACAACGCTAAAATCATTTCAACAACTAATTAAGATGATCAATGATTTGCAAACAATAAATTACATAGTTCGTTTGTCTTCCAAATAAATAACAAAAAAAATGTCGAAGTCTGATCAAAACATTCTTGAATATTGTGAATGAAATTGTCATTTTTTTATATGAATATTGTTAATGAAATTGGTTTTTTCTTATAGGAATATTTAGAATCTCATTGTGTATTGGCTCGAAAATATGGGCAATTACTTTACCGTACGTACTTTCATGTAATGTGATGATTTCAAAAGGTAATTGAGCGTCTGAGAGAAGTAAATGTAACCAAAATTTTGAAAGTCAATATTTATTTGGAGATGAAATCCATTCTCAACCCATGAGACAATGTCTCCATGAGGTAGGTACCAATTTGTCTATATAGAAATAGTAATGAAGTAGTATATACAATGATAAAAAAGTATCAACAATTTAATGATATGGTTTGTTATTTTATAAAGGTATGCATGAACTGTTAGAAAGAATACCTTATAAAGATCATACAATCATGAAGTTTTATTTGACCATAATATTTATAAGTATTTGAATAAAGTAGACGTTTTGCCAAATGATTAAGAATAATTTTGCAATACTATTGATGTACTAGGCTCCAACGAGTATGAATAATGTTTCATATGAAAATGTCAAAACTAAAATGAAAGAAAATCACTCTTTTTATTTATTTATTTACTATTTTTTTTCATTAGATCTATACTTTTGTTGGGTTTGTAATATGTCATTTCATTCTTTTCATATTATGACATCATTATGTTATTTAAAAAAAAAATATTAGAAGCTCATTTGTTCTATATTTTACTTCGTTCCTACAATGATATTCAGCAAAAACCATTCGCCACCACGTGCACTTTACTAGTTCTTAAAAAATTCAAGAATTTCATACGCTGAGTAGTGAACCTAAAACACGATACAATAAGAGAATACATGGAAAAGTTACATGCATTTCAACACTTCTTACAAATTTACACTATATGATCTTAATGTGCTCAAGAAAACCAGAGCAGAAAACCCA